TATAGTTATGCATAATTTAATTATTTGGCTCTCTTCTTCATGAACAAAATTTATGCTTTTAAAGTGAAAAAATTAGGCCTAATACATCCTTTGTCAATAAGTCCTATAAATGAACCTTGCGTTTCTAATGTTTAATAATCTCCATAAGATACAAATCCTTAGAAATTGGAGTGCTATCCATAGTTTGATCTACGACAAGCTCAATTTCTTGATCAGGTTGTAAGCCACCCAAATCTTTAGGAAACACATTAGCAAATTTCTTGCACTATAAATACATTGTCTAAACTTCGCCTTGTTGGTATCTAGCAAAATAACCAACATAATTTGGGGCAAGCATCCTTTTTTACTTTAAATGCTTTCACCAAACATGACATTGGGCTCCTCTAGCACCCTTAAAACTAAATGGTGCAACAATAGGCATACAAAAATTCACTCTTCTTTTATCACATTAAATGATAACATGATATATAGCTGATTCACACCACCAATCTCAGCTGATGATAATACAATTTATGTAGTAAGCATATGCACATTCTTCTTAACAGCATATGCACAATATTGAACCTTGTATGATACAAGTGTCAGTGATAACACCGCCTCATCTTTTAGTTGTTATTTTTCATAAATATTAGTAAATATATTGAGTTTATAGGCTATTGAAAAAATGAAATCATTAAATATATTAATGATCAAGAAAAACTAGAGGAATCTACCCCCATTTACTCGACTTAAAAAAAGTTATGAGTGGATTGATATAAATCAATATCTAATATGTCTTCATACCATTTTGTTACATATTGGGTCTAGAAGGCATATGCTCAAACGATATATCATGTAGGGACTTAATCATAAGACCAGTGAGACAAATTTCAAGCGCTTGGCTATGATCAAGTAAACACACACACACACACACATGAGTGCAATCTTGATGTTAGTGCAAATCTTAATCTTTTTAGTTAAGAACCATTCTTTATTGATTTTATTAAATCAATAGAAATTTTGATAGTTTATTATTATTGAAAACTAAACATCAATTGATAGAATAAAAATAAATCAACAACGCAAAGCAGGGATGAATGTAGAAGTGCATAGTTGTTAGGATCACTCCAGTAATTTGGGATAATACAACATAATTTTTTTTAGAGGAAATGATTTTAAAATGTGGACTTTTTTTTTTGGTTAAGGCATGTTTGGGCATTTTTTTGCTCTTTTTTTTACCAAATACAAAGAAAAATTGTTTGAAAGCTTATACTATTTATTTGCTTTAAAAACATGTTTAGAAATGAAAATGGAGAAGTTGTCAAGTGTTTATTAGCATAATTTAGTATTTAATCCATAATCGTGTTAAATATCCTTTTGAAAACTTGTTCAAGACTAGTTAATCAAATTCATATTCATCATCACTAACTAGTTATTAACGAGAAAAGCATCAAAATGGTCCCTTAATTCTTTACAAGGGGTTCTTTTAGTCTCAGAGTTTATAAAAATATTAATTTAGTCCTCAAACTCTTTTAGTATTGATTGAAATAGATCACATTGATGAATATTTTAATTCTCATGAAAATAGCCTGGGGATTAATTTAACGCTTTTATGAAGTCTGGGATCAAAATAGCCTCATGTTAATAATTAAGGGACTATTTTGGCATTTTACTCATTTATTAAATTAAAATTATCTTTGTCAGTTCCCAATTCCAAGATTGAGAAGTGGATGGTTGCATTAGGTGGTCGACATACAGGTTAAAATTGCCGAGAATTTGACATGAATTCCTTAAATCTTAGTGTACATATTAGGGTGTCCCCTGGAAGCTACGTGTTGTATTGCTCGAAAACACTGAAAAGTGTGCAAGGGTTGCTGCATAGACACTTAGGTATAGTGTAAATAAGGAAGAATTCTCATATTATGGATGTATGCGGGCATAGAAATTAGTCCATGAAATTAATATTAGCATAAAAACTTCAAGTATAGTAAATCTCACATTTAAATTAATAAAATTAGTAGATATTATGATTTATAGGAAGATAATATTTTATACATTCAAAAAAACTAAATTAAGGATGTTGATAGTTTAGGTTTTTAATTTTGGTATTTAGGTATTAGTCGTATTAGAAATGATATATGTGTAATTATAGATAAGAATTTGAAGGATAATGTTGTAAAAATTAATAGAATTAGAGATAAAATTATCGTTTAAAGATTTTTTTGATATTAATATTCTTATTGTTATAAGTGCTTATGTTCTCTATGTAGGTTTGGATATATATTCAAAAGAAAATTTTTGGTATGACTTAGAAGAGTTAATACAAAAGATATCTCTTGAAGAAAGAATTTTTATTAGAGGAGATTTAAATAAATTTGGAGGTAAAATGATAGAAGATTTTAAAAGTATTTGTGATGATTATGATTTTGGAGTGACTAATGAAGAAGATAGAGCTATATTGGATTTTGTTTTAGTTTATGATTTTGTTATTGCTAGTACTTTATTTATGAAAAGATATTAGATTGTTATCACTTACAAGATTAGATCTAATAAATACAAATTGATTATTTTTTTTAGAGAAAAATGGATCGTCGAGATTGTAAAGATTGTAAGGTCATTCTAAGTGAAAATTGAAGTTTCCAACATCAATTATTAGTTTTGAATCTTAAGATGAAAAGTTGGAAGGTGAAAAATACTAGAAAATATTGTCATAGAATTGGATTATGACACTTGAAAGACATAAATAAATTTTATGATCTTAAGATTTGAATTATTCATGAAGAAGCTAATGCTATGTGGTCTAAAGTAATAAGTACTGTTAAGTAAGTTGTACAATATATTTTAAGGGAATCAAAAGGAAAACACTTGCAAATAAAATTTTTAGTAGTGGAATAATAATATGCAAAAAAGATAAAAAATAAGAAGTTTTGTTATAAAAGTTGGTTTAGATGTAAAAGCTTGGATAATTAGCAAAAGTATAAAGTGACTCGTATGAAGTCTAAGAGAATAATTTGTCATGTTAAGAATTATATTTTTAATGATATTTATAATAAATTAGATATTAAAGTTGGTGAAATATATATGTATGAACTCGTCAAGCAAGGAGATAAGAAAAATAATTATTTAATCATGTAAAATGTGTTAAAGATGAAAATCAAATAGTACATTTTCTTAGATGAGGATATTCAACATAGTTTGGTAGTTGATAAACTTTTCATTAAGGATTCTGAAAGTACAATTGATTTTAGTTATCTTAATATCATAAGTAAAAATAAAGTTTTTTATTTTCATGTCGCATTAATAAAACATTAGTTGAGGAGACTTTAAAGAAAATGTTGTGTGAAAAAGTCATATTACCTGTTATTATTCTAATAAAAATTTGGAAATGTTTATGAAATCTGAAGATTACTTGACTTACTAAACTTTTTAATATTATTATAAAAACTAAAAAGATGTTTGATGAGTGGAAAAAACCTGTTCATTTATATTTTTAAGAATAAAGGGGATGCACAAGAGGGTGCAAATTATAGACTAAGTTATTCTATCATATATTAAAGTTATGGGAGAAAATAATTAATCATGTGTTACAACTTAATACAAAAATTTTTCAGAATCAAATTGAATTCATGTCGGGCAAGTCTACTATGGAAGCTATACATTCATTGATAGGTTTGATGGAGAATTGTTGAGAGAACAAGGAGGATCTTTGTTGATTTAGGGAAAAACTTATGATAAGGTTCCTAGAGAAGTGCTTTGGAGAGTTCTAGAAATAAATGTGTTGATATTACTTATATTCAAGTCATTAAAGATATGTATACTAGAGTTTTTACTAGTGTTCCAACACAATGAGGATTAATCAAGTATTTTTCTATTTCAGTTGGATTATAATAGGTTTCATTTTTAAGCCCCTATTTTTTTGCTCTAGTTATTAAAGATATGTATACTAGAGTTGTTAGTAGTGTTCCAACACAATGAGGATTAACCAAGTATTTTTCTATTTCAGTTGGATTATAGTAGGTTTCATTTTTAAGCCCCTATCTTTTTGCTCTAGTCATGGATGTTCTTACTGGACATTTCCAGGAGGATGGACCATGTATGCTTGTCGCCAACAATGTCGTTATTGTGGATAATGTTAGAGAGAGAGAGAGTTCAGGAAAAAAATAATTTTTGAAGGTCAACTTTAGAATCTAAAGGCTTTCTTTCAAGTAGATTTAAAAATAAATATATGGAATATAATTTTAGTAGTAGATCTAGTGGCGGGGTTGTAAAAATTGGTGATTAAGTAATTAAAAAAGAGTGAATGGTCCAGATATCTTGGATCTTGTTTAAATTGATGGTGATATAGATGGGGATGTTATTAGTATAGTTCAAGTTGCAATGCTTATGATGGAAAATGTTGACCTGTAAAGGAGGATCATAAAATTAAGTTGAGTGATGCTAAGATGAGGATACTTTAGGTGGATGAGTGTCTTTACACTTAAAGACAAAATGCGAAATGAATATATTTGTGAATGGGTTGGAATGTAGCTCCGGTGACAAACAAGATTAGAAAATGCTAGCTTAGATGTTTTGGTCATGTAAAATGTCGACCATTTGATGTCCCGGTTAAGAGAACAGATGTTTTAAATTTGACTTGTGTTAAGAAAGGTAGGGATAGGTCTAAAAAGGACTTGGACATGTAAAAGCGATTTTAATTTATAAGAATTAAATGAAAATATGACACTCAATACGACATAATGGAGAAAAAGATTTCATGTAGCCGACCCAACTTTGTAGAAAAAGGCTTGTTGTAATTTTTGTACTCTTTTATTGAATTTTTTGCTTAATCCACTTTATCAGTAATGAATATTATTTAATTAGTCAATATATTTAAACCATGATTTATTTTAACAATATTTTATTAAAATTATAATCATTTATCTAATTTAGCATAATAAATAATTAAATTTTATTTAATATGTTTGACACTCTACATTTCATACTGTAAGCCTTTTGACGCATCTTATATTTTATTTTTCAAGGTTTCTGGTGAATATTCAATGATCAAAGCTGGTGGTGTTCTTAAAATGGTCGATGAAGAAAAGGTGATGATGGAATCTCTGCTGTGCCTTAGAAGGGCTGGCGCAGATATTATCTTGACATACTTTGCTCGTCAGGCAGCTACTGTTCTCGCTGGGGGTAAACAACCCGGCTTTTAGCATCTTCAAGCTTGAGTTTTGTTTTCTAAATTTTATTTAATTTATTTTTATGTTTTGTTCTCTTTGTATCTCTCTGTGAATTTTTTTTTCTTTTTTTTCAATATTTAAATATGAATTTAATATATTTAAGTTTGTTACATTCCTTTGTGAAATAGTCTACAATATTCAAAATCATGCACAGTTCCAAAGTGTGTGCCAGCCATGCTCTATTTTGTTGAGCACTCGCAGCTGTTAAGACTGTAGATAATGTTCTGCCATCCTTACAAGATGAAAGGATCTGAAATGATGATGCTTTCTTTTAGTCCTTCAAGTTTACTCAGTAGTGGGATTAAGTCTCACCTATATTGTATGAAACTTAGTGTCGAACTGTGAAAATTCATGGATAAATTGACTAGGGATGAAGAAAATAAGTCAGTCTATTAAGATGTTTGTCTGGAAAAATCAAGAAGGATAAATATTAGGAAGATTTACATACCTACCACTCAATACTCATGTATTTACAAGTCAAACACCTAAACTTCAATTTTTACATGTCGGTCATTATTCCTATGAATGAAAATGTGTTTCACTTTTTAGAAATTAAATAGTGGTAGTTTTGATGTGATATGAGAGATTTGGATGGTATAAATGCAAATAAAGTAAAGTTTATGCATGAGAATTGAGTGGTATGTATGTAAATACCCCTAGATTTTATAGTTATGGTGGAAGTGATGTCTAGTACATATAAGACGTTAAAAATTATAATTTGGGGGTTTGGATATGCAGAACATGGTAAAGAAAACATGTCAATCTGCAGCTACATAAAGTTAATGTCGAGGTATAATCTTAAGATAATATTGGTAAGGCAGCATATCTTGAACACATGTTGACTAAGATTTTGCTGGAAAGAATATAAAACAAGATTCATAAAATTGATCCCAAATAGTTTCATCAAGCTAATGATTTTGATGATGTTGATACAAATCTGGTACTATTTGTCCTTTTCTCAAATGGTTGGAATTGGCTATCATGCTTCTCTAAGAAAGTTCTAGAAGTGCAACTTTTAGAGGCAATGGGATAATATTGGTCTCCATTGTCATGAAGCATCAATGTGCAGTAGCCATGCTTAGTCAAATAAGTTGCAGAGCACTACTTTGAATGACCTTCCTAAAGTTGAATTATTGTTTGCTTTCTTTGATTTCATATACAAATAAATCAAATGTACTAGTGATATTGTCTGCTTAAGAGCCAGGCTAAATTTGGCAAATACAGCCCAGTTTTCTTGACATTCTATACCAGATTCCCCTCTTGAGGGTAAATTCTATTTTTCATTTTCAGCTATGATGTAAAAATCATCTCTGAATTTAGTTTCATTTGTTGTTTATCAAGATTTTATTTTATTCAGCAGTTAAAAAGAAAAAAAAAAGAAACTTGGAATGAAATTTGTGCATCTTATACAAGAATTTTTTTCTTGGAACCTTTATCTCAATTCTCAAGCTAGGACATTACTTCACTTGAGAACTCCAAAATGAATAGACTTTCAGACAAATATTCTTGGCATGCCTTGTATGAAATATATATACAACAAAATATTATCAAAAATATGAAGTTGCCATGTGTTAAATCCTTATAATAGGTGCAATATTGATTTATTCACCATCATGATCTGGCTTCTAATTTTAAGTATGAAATGTGATACTTATTTTTAGCATCATATCCATCACGGTCCATGGTGAGTTCTAGAAAGAGCCGAGGAAGCAATAATCTTCGTCATTGTTGATATTGGTAATCCAAATTGCACCTAAACATTTTAAAAAATGAGGGGTGTTTCTTATTCTCCTATGATGTTTTGCTTGTCGGTCGTAAGGATGGTCATCTTTCATAATATACGCACCATAATGAAAAATATACTTATGATCTATATGGATTCGTGTCAATCCTCGTAGGACATCCATGAAAAGGCTCTCCCATAATTGAACGCATGCAGTTCTGCGTGTGTACTCTCCCAAATAACCTTCCAATAACTCATTTATTGGGGGTTATTGAGAGTAACCCCCCAATAACCTACCAATACATTCCACGATTCCGTGCTCATATTTTTTGCTGTTTTTCGGAAGTTTTGTCAGGTTATTGGGGGAAACACCGACATAACCCTCCAATATCTTCCAAATAACCTATATACGTATATATTTGTCCCCATAATTAAGTTAGCAATGGGAATGGTGTATATGATCCTTACTTCCTATTTGAAGGCTTTTAGGCATAACAATGTATACTTCCCTTCGGGAACTCGACCACAATCAAATGCATTTTTAGATAATAGATATATCTATGAAAAATTTAGACAGTTTTATTCACTCTTAAGTGTTTAATTTAGGTAATTCCTACTCAAATTTTTTTAGCATTCTACAATAACTCTAATTATAATTCCACATGTATCTCTTATTTTATTAGAAGGGCTCCAAGTGCATCCTTGAAAGTATTAGTAGTCACTTCATATGGTTCCTTATATATCCCTATTTTCTCTTTTCCTATGGGAACTTCTGATTGGTCTTCATGGTGCATACAAAGTGTTTCAATGAATACAAAGAATTTATAAACAAACCTCCTCACATACTAATATTAATGCAGCATATCAAGAAGGATCCAATTCATAATTTGTTAATTCCTTCATTTTTAGGATTATTGTATTGTTCAACTGTTATTATAACTTTGGATTCATTTCATGGTTATGATATTTAATTTTTAAAAAAAATGGTATTAATTATTTAGTTTATTGATGCAAGGGTACATTCAAGTGTTTGGTAGATGTCTTTTTTGAACCTTGTCATGCCAACTTTATTCTTTAGGATGACAACTTAGTGGCTAACAACCAGACTCAATTATTTGGTTAGATATGTGGTTTTATTCATGTCTTTTAATCTTATTTTTGGATGATTCCCTTCTTTTGACATCCCATAAATCTCTCAATACCATTCCCTTCATATCAATAATTGAATCGTAAGTTCCAACTTAGTTCGACTGCACGACATGATGAGGCTCGAATTTTATTTGAACCTAAGTTAGAACTATTTATTATGTGTGTAATCTATTTATTAGACATGATGAATCATTAAAGACATCATGTAAATTAAAGAAAAAAATAGTAGTAAATTGAGATTATATGAGATCATTATTATTTTCTAAATATCATGGTTATGAAGCTGGTATATGTCAATTCTAAAAAAGTTGAGTGCTATTAATGGAAGAGTGTTTAGGTAATGATCATTTTGTTTTGCAAAAACTAGTATCTCTATGGTTTATAAAGGCGCACTTTGAATTAGAAATTCTTTTTTATTTTGGAATATATATATATATATATATACACACACCGCACAATTCTTTTGTATTTACATATCTAACACTTGAAATTAATATTTGTACATAGCATTTCGATGTTATAAGCCGATATATATTTCACTTTTAAAAATGTAATGATGTTATTTTTTATGTGATTTTAAAGTTTTGAATGTTGCGCATGCAAATGTGAAAGTTTAGTTGTTAGATATGTAAATGCATAAGAATTATGTGGTATGTATGTAAATGCTTTTTTATTTGATCTATTAAGCTTCCTCATAATTCATTAAATATCCTAGTAAATGTCCGCTCCTTCATATATAGTATTTTTTATGTCAACGACAGAAATGTATATGAAATGAAAAGATATTCCGCCTCTGTTTTGAATGTTGCGAATGCAAATGTGTAAGTTTAGTTGTTAGATATGTAAATACATAAGAATTATGTTGTATGTATGTAAATGCTCTTTTATTTCATCTATTAAGCTTCCTCATAATTCATTAAATATTCTAGTAAATGTCCGCTCCTTCATATATAATATTTTTTATGTCAAAGGCAGAAATGTATATGAAATGAAAAGATATTCCGCCTCAAAAATTTATATAGAATAGGGAGATAACAATTGACACGACCTGAAACAGATCAAAAGATGACATGACTTCTGATTGATCGATGAAGGCTCGACTTAAAATTGGAAGTCTATAGTATATGAAGAAAAGGACATTAGAGCATATAAGAAGTATCTTGATTTCAAGATTGAAAGATTCTAGTCCGGGAGAATAATCTCATTGATTGAGAAACTTTCCTCTGGCTAAGTGAACAATGTCCGCGTTAGCACGTGTTTTGGTTCCAGCCTGGAATGACATTCAGGTCCGGTTAGCTGAGAATCGTTTCTCACTTTTATCTGGTTGTGTGGACAACGTCCGCACCATGATTTGCTTCAATTCCAATCAGGGAGAATAATCTCGTCGATTGAGAAGCGTTCCTCTAGCTGAGCGGATAATATTCCTGCCAGTACTTGTTTTGGTTCTAGCCCGGAATGATGTTCAAGTGCCGTTGGCTGATAATCGTTTCTCACTTTAGTCTAGTTGTGTGGACAATGTCTCTGCCATGATTTGGTTTGGTTCCAGTCAGGGAGAATAATCTAGTTGATTGAGAATTGTTTCTCTGCCCAAGTGAACAATGTCCCCACCAATACTCGTTTCAGTTTCAGCTCAGAATGAAGTTCAAGACCCGTTGGCTGAGAATCATTTCTCACTTTTGTGTGGTTGTGTATAACATGTCCCCGCCATGACTTGCTTTGGTTCTAGTATTGGAGAATAATCTTGTTGATTAAGAATCGTTCCTCTGGCTGAGTGGACAATGTCTCCACCATTACCTATTTCAGTTCTAGCCTAGAATGACACTCAAGTCTCATTGGCTGAGAGTCATTTCTCCTTTTGATTTGGCTGTGTGGACCATGTATTCGCCATGACCTACTTTGTCTGGCTGTGTAGACTATGTCCTCAACATGACCTAACTCGTGTCACCTTGCATGTTACGAGCTGACATTTAATGACCCTTATTTTAAAACTAAAAAAAAAAGAAAATATTTATTTTATCTTCCTACATCCACCATGATTTTAAAATTATGCATGTAACAAACTAGGCAGTATATAAGGCCAACTCCTCTTTCAAAATCCACCTTGGGTGACACCCTTTGGATCCCTTGGATCTTTAGGGCGGGGCGACAAGGCGAACCCGCCAAAGTCATTCTTTACTTGGAAACTGACCCTTCACTTAGATGTTGGTTAGGACACTTTCTCGTTAGATGATCTGTTAGGTTAGGGTTTAGGATGTTAGGCAGTCCTTTCTGACGCCTCT